CTCGGGACCCCCTGGCTGAAGAGGGCTGAGCACCTGGCTGAGCACCCGGGCCCGGGGCAGCGTCCCCGCCAGCCCCAGCGACACTTTCTTGCCAACTGGAGAAAAGGCGCGCCTTCCTCCAGACCTTCGACTTGCCCTTTCGCGGTGCGAATGGCGCCCCCTGGGGCCCACAGAAATTATGGGCTCTTCCAGGAGCAGGGGTGCGCCTCCTTCATTTCTGAAACTCTAAAGCCCAGCGCTTGGGGCAGGCTTGGTGAATGTTGACAATCGGAGGAACTTCTAGGTAAAAGCATCGAGACATATTTGTTCTTTTATAAATATTCAAGCCTGCGGGCCAGTTATGCAGACTCTCCGAGCCCCGCCTATAAAATGGGCACAATAATACTGACCTAGGCTGGAATGATACTTCCAGCACCAGTATGGCACATCGGAAGTGGTCAATGCTAATAGCTAACATGTACTGCATGTAATAGCGCTAAGAAGTATGAATAACATTATGATGTAAGTATTGCAAATGGTGGAAAGTGGGGGTTGAAGAGGTTATGTGACTGGCCAGGTGTCTCCCAGCCAGGGAACCATGGAGTCCATCTCCTGGACCACTGGCCTCTGAAAGCCTGTCTGAATATTTCTGGCTGCTCAGGACACACTCTTTCTGACTGAATATGCCTGTTTCTTGCCTCAGGTGACCCAAAAAGGTGACTCAGAACCAACAACCCCCATTCCGAGATAGGAGGCAGAACTGAGGGCCAAGGCAGCGACTGGATTGGATTGGATGTAAACACAACAACAGAGTCGAGGCTAATCAGAATGTTCTGACATCTGAATGTGGGAAGAGGCGGACTGAGCCCCAAACCCCAGCAGGGCCGAGTAACATCTTAGTCACGGAGCTGACAGCAGATGTGAAGCAAGTCACTCAGGTAGGGGGGGATGCTGCTAACACGAGAAGGTTCAAAACAGGCTGCGGCGATGAGCTCAGGTGAGGACTTTGGGATATATTTTATGTTCGTTCAGCTCCATCGGGTGGCAGAGGGACTCCTGGGTCACTGTGTGTCCAGGGGTTTAGGCTGAGGAAATGATAGCTGTTGTGCTCTGGAGGCTGGGTCCTTGGGGATGGGTCTGAGGGGGTGCCTGTCCCTCCAACCCCGGCATGGAGGAGTTGGTTCATCCCTGGGCAATGGGAATGGACCTGAAGGTCCATTAAGGTGCCTTGCCTCAGGTCCCGATCTCGGGTCCAACCAACAGTAGAGCGGGAGGCAGGACTGGTTCCAGCAGAGCCAACGTTCACTGAAGCTTTGCTCAGGCAGTTCGCTGAGTGCTCTTCACATGCGTTCCCCTGTTAGCTCATGGAGTCCTCACAACTGCATGAGCTCCCTACTATTATTATCCTCAGTGACGTGCAGAGAGGTTAGGTGACTTTGCCAAGGTCACCTGGCTGGCAAGCCTTAAAGCCTGGGCTGGCATCCTTGTCTGGGAGCGTGTGCCCCCGAATCACCCCTCCTCCTGTCTGACTTGCTTTCAAAAGCCCAAGTCAGAGCCCTATTAAGAAGCACCTGTAATTGAGTTCTAGTTTCAAAGCACTGTGGTCCGAAAATATGCAGGGAACGATCCCAATCTTTTGGTACCAGTTGAGACTTCATTTGTGACCTAGGATGTGATCTATTCTGGAGAATGTTCCATGGGCACTAGAGAAGAATGTGTATTCTATTGCTTTGGGATGGAATGTTCTGAATATATCTGTGAAGTCCTTTTGGTCCAGTGTGTCATTTAAAGCCTTTATTTCCTTGTTGATCTTTTGCTTAGATGATCTGTCCATTTCAGTGTGTGGGGGGGTGTTAAAGTACCCCACTATTATTGTATTGTTGTCAATGTGTTTCTTTGATTTTGTTATTAATTGGCTTATATAATTGGCTGCTCCCATTTTAGGGGCATGGATATTTACAATTGTTAGATCTTTTTGTTGAATAGACCCTTTAAGTATGATATAGTGTCCTTCCTCATCTCTTATTATAATCTTTGGTTTAAAATCTAATTTGTCTGATATAAGGATTGCCACCCCAGCTTTCTTTTGATGTCCATTATCATGGTAAATGGTTTTCCACCCCCTCACTTTCAATCTGGAGGTGTCTTTGGGTCTAAAATGAGTCTCTTGCAGACAACATATCAATGGGTCTTGTTTTTTTTTTTTATCCAATCTGATAGCCTGTGTCTTTTGATTGGGGCATTTGGCCCATTTACATTCAGGGTAACTATTGAAAGACATGAATTTAGTGCCATTGTATTACCTGTAAGGTGACTGTTACTGTATATTGTCTGTGTTCCTTTCTGGTCTATGTTGCTTTTAGGCTCTCTCTTTGCTTAGAGGATCCCTCTCAATATTTCTTGTAGGGCTGGTTTCATGTTTGCAAATTCTTTTAGTTTTTGTTTGTCCTGGAAGCTGATATGAGGAATTCTTAATCTCAGGAAACAAACTGAGGGTTGCTGGAGTGGTGGGAGGTGGGAGGGATGGGGTGGCTGGGTGATAGACATTGGGGAGGGTATGTGCTATGGTGAACACTGTGAAATGTGTAAGACTGATGAATCACAGACCTGTACCTCTGAAACAAATAATACATTATATGTTAAAAAAAAAAAAAAAGAAGAAGATAGTAGGAAGGGAAAAATGAAGGGGGGGAAATCGGAGGGGGAGATGAACCATGAGAGACTATGGACTCTGAGAAACAAACTGAGGGTTCTAGACGGGAGGGGGTGGGGGGATGGGTTAGCCCGGTGATGGGTATTAAAGAGGGCACGTATTGAATGGAGCACTGGGTGTTATATGCAAACAATGAATCATGGAACACTACATCAAAAACTAATGATATAATGTATGGTGATTAACATAACATAATAAAATAAAATTAAAAAAAAAAGCATTTGAACACTGCTCTTCCCAGAAGGGGACAACAGCAGGCAATGTAACAAGCAAGCATTTGAAGTTGGGCTCCCCTCCCCAAGTAACCATCATCCTGAGAAACTGTCTCAGAGATGTTTGGTTTGGTCCTCTAAATGGGGAACACATGCAAAAAATCATGAAGAGTGCCAGTCCGTAATCAGAAACAGGACTGTAGTTCTCCTGAGCATCACACCTGGAGAGACAACTGTTGCTTCCCCCACAGTCACTGCAAACCCAGGTTGGCCCCAAACTGACCTCCTCATCTCCCTGCTCACTCCCCAGATCTGCCTCTCCTCCTATACTGCGTCTCCTGTTTCATAGAACCTCCTACTTCTTCTGCCTCCTCCCTCCTTCCCACAGCCCCTTGAACCTGATTCCTTTACTTCCACTTCCTAAGTATCCACTGAATCCACCCTCTTCCGTCTTGGCCTGTTGACACTGCCTTGGTTTGGGCTTCCCCTGTCCTGACCCAGATGGCCTCCTAACTCGTCTCTCAGTGCTTCAGACCATCCTCCCTGCAGCCCCGGGAGTGGTCCAAGGGGCCAATGTGACCACATCACTCCCTGCCTACAACCTTTAAGTGGATAAAGAAATATTTCCTGCTCTAGCTTTGTTTTAGCTAACAATGGTTGAGGGCTCACACTATGTTCTGCTGCTGATCTTTCAAGGCCAGTCCATATCCCACTTCATTCATCCACCCATCCATCCATACATCCGTCCACCCATCCAATATACTGAAAGCCAGGGACTATGCCAGGTGTTTAACAGACATTATTTAATGTAATCTTCACAACAACGCGCTGGGGGGAGCTACTATTATAATTCCCATTTTGCAAAAGAAAAAAACCGAGGCTCAGAGAGGAAGTTGCTCAAGAACATATTGGTGAGTTCTCAGGAGCAACATTCTAGCAGCTGTGACCTATTCCCTGCCAAGGGGGAGGGCTTTGTGGAGAAGGCAGAGCCTTGGGTCGTAACTGAACTTTTAGCACACGGCCAGGCTGCCTAGTGTGGGGAACCTGGGGTGGAGGGGGGCACCGGGATCACTGAGGGGAGCCTCAGTCCCCTCCCCCTTAATCCAGGACCAGGACAGAAACATCAAGGAGAGAAAGTGAAAGAGGACAGCTTCCCTTTCAGCCCCCGTCCCTACCTGGTTCCAGATGACACAAGGAGCTGCCCCTCTTCCCCCACCCTGCAGTATCCACGATGTCAGTGCCAACTCCAAGTTATCTGGCTTAGAAGGGGACCCACAGAACCAACCCCTCCTCCCCCTCCCGCATTACAGATGGGAAACGTGAGACCTCGCCCAATACCTCAGCCTACAAAAGCCAGGATGAAAACCCAGTCCTCCCGACTTTGACCCAGTGCCCTGTCCGCCCTTCCTCCCTAGACATCTTTCCCAGGGAGCACCGACAGCCCATGGCAGGGGAGCAGGAAAGGGGCCTTGGTGGTCACCTGGAACCCACCTGGGTTCTTGCCGGCTGGCCACTCCCCAGCTGTGTGAAGTCAGGGAGGTCACTTCACATCTGTGTCCTCATCTGTACAATATGGGTATAGTGATACCAAGCTCACAGGGCTGATGAGACCTTCAGTGACTGAGACAGGCATGCAAAGCATCTGGAATATAGTGGGTGGTCAGTCAACCTCAAGCCCAGCTATGTTGTCCTCAAAGAACTTAGGGTGGCCAGGAACCCAGCCCGCCCGCCACCCACGAACACAAAGGGCAGTATGAAAGCATCTTGGAAATACAGGTAAATGCTGCGGAATCCTGGGAGCAGTCGTTTCTACCCATTAACAGCTGTTTGATAACCCAGACCCGACAAAGAGAAAACGGTAATGTGAACACACAGGAGCCAGGAGTGCCGGTTTGGAGTAGCGCTCACTATTGTCCCAGTGACCTCGAACCTGACCTTCCCCAAACACCGTGACTTGGCCAAAGGGCTTCTTCTAGAGGCCGGGTCTGCGGGCCGCCCACGAAGCGCGGAGCGGGTCGGGCTGCGAGCGCGGCTCGCGAGCCCGGGGGACCACCCCCTCCACCCCGCCACCCAGGCCGCCCCGCCCCGGGGCGCGGACTACAGCTCCCGGCATGCCCGTCGCGCGGTACCTGCCCGCCCCCAGCCGCCGCGCCCGGAGGATGCAGTCGCCGGGGCGAGCCGGGAGGATGGAGGCCGGGGAGGCAGCGCCGCCGGCGGGGATGGGCGGCCGCGCGCCGGGCGGCTGGGGCAAGTGGGTGCGGCTCAACGTGGGGGGCACGGTGTTCCTGACCACCCGGCAGACGCTGTGCCGGGAGCAGAAGTCCTTCCTCAGCCGCTTGTGCCAGGGGGAAGAGCTGCAGTCGGACCGGGTGAGGCCCGCGCGGTGGGCGGCCGTCGGGGGCGGGGGGGGGGCGGGGGGGGCGGGGATCCTCTGCCCGCCGGAATCGGGGCTGGCCTGGCCGGCAACCCGGCTGGTTTTCTTTCCCAAGCGCCGGAGGCAGGAAGAACTGGCCAGAGGAAGGGAGGAGGAAGTGGATGGGAGAGTGAGGGATGTGCCCATTGCCGTGGCAACGGGACAACGCCAGGCCGCGGCCATTTGGAGCCTTCTGAGCACTGTTCTGGCCCCCCACCCCGGGAGGCTGGTGGATCGGGACTCTCCCTCTCCTTTAGGGCCTTCCCTCCTTCCCAAACGGGACTCCCACACTGGGGAAGGGAGTTGCTGAGGCTGCTTCCTCCGCCCTTTGGGGTGTGGGTGGCCTCGCAGTGCAGGGAGCTGGGTGGAGAAGTCCTGGGGTGCCTTCTGAGCTGGGCTTCATCAGGGAGGAGCCCGGGCCCGTCTGGCACCATTTCTGAGCTCCCATCCCGGCTCTGCTGCAAACTGCCTGCATGACCTTGGGTGGGACCCTTCCCTGCTCCAGGCTCAGCCTCCTGTCTGTAACCAGAGGAGGCTGGTCTGGAGGTGACCTCTAGGGCCCCCTCTCCCTCATTCCCTGACCCTCTGATGCTGTGACCTTGGGCAAGTCCCCTCACCCCTTGATGTCTCCGTTTTCCCCCTGTAGAGTTGTACGGATGCCCGCCCTGCCTCCCTGAAGGCCGTGCCTGTCCAATGAGGTAGCGCCTCCTTTGGAAACTTGTAAACATCCGACATCCCCAGAATGACTGGGGATCTGATGGAGATAGTGTAGGGTGGCTTCCAGGGAACAGCCTCTAAGAGGGACAATCACTGAACCTTCCTCTGGGTCGGGTGCCCCTCAGAATCCACTGGATGCTCACAATGACACCTAGTTATGGGAGAGCGGAGTTCAGCTCAGAGAGGCCAAGTCACTGGCCCAAGGTCACACAGTGAGGAAAAGTCAGAGGCAGGATTTGAACCTAGGTGTTTCTGACCCCAAAGCCTTTCTGCCCCAGCATGCCCCTTTGTTGCAGGGAAGAGCAGACTCTGCGTTCACTCCCTCCCTCCAATCCATACTTAAGTGGGGTGGGGGGAAACCTCACTCTCCTCTCATGGCCTGTTCCCCTCATCTCCATAGGATGAGACTGGGGCCTACCTCATTGACCGTGACCCCACCTACTTTGGGCCCATCCTGAACTTTCTCCGGCATGGCAAGCTGGTGCTGGACAAGGACATGGCTGAGGAGGGTGAGTTGGGCCGGGGGACTGGCTGGGACCTGCCTCCTAGCCCTGCCCTCTGCAGTCTGCCAGAGCCTTCCATTGGAGGTCCAAAGTCATTTCTCCCAGTTGGGGGGTGGGGGGACATTTAACTTCCCTGTTGCCTGCCTCCTCATCCCTGAAAAGGTTGAATCTCAAGGCTTCTGCCTGGACTGAGCCTCGGGGCTCTGCCGAGCTGACCAGCCTGAGCTTTTGCTGAGTGCCAACAGAGAGGTAGAAGATAGAGGGAGCCAGTGAGGCCGGCCGCCTCTGTTGGGGGCAGGGGTGCCTTTTCTCCTGACCTCCTGGGAAGCCAGGTGTGAACGGGGCAGAGATGGGCATGGGAGGAGGAGATCTGGCTCTCTCTCTGTGGGTGATCCAGTATCTCAGATGCCTGGTGAGGTCTGGCAGTCAGCAGGTGGGTGGAGCAGGTGACTCTTCCCCAAATCTAGCAGCCTCTGTCGCCCAGCTGGTTGCGGGTGGAGGTGGGGGAGGGGAGCCTGCTCCCCAGCAGGGGTCTGGTTCCCCTGGGGCCTGGGCAGCTGAGGCCCATAGATGCCCATTTCTGGCCCCAGCAGATAGGTGCGGAAGCCATGCCTGAGAGAATATCCTCTTGGCAAAGCCTCAGCCAGGAGCAGGGACTATAGTCAGGGCCAAGTCAACTCTTCCTTGGGGCCCAGGGCGTGGCTCTGGGTCAGCTGACCCAGCCAGGCCAGCTTGGACATGTCACTTCTCCTTTCTCCACTGTGTGTAGAAATTAGGGGTGGTGAGAGCATGTTCTGGGACAACAGGTGTCCTGAGGCCCAGTGCTTGTACCCCGTGGGCATCTAGCACAGCCCATCCTTCCTCACTCGGGGCCCACGGTCTCCCTTCCTGACCTGCTTGGGACGTGGTCATCTCGAGGCCAAGTAGCTCCCCAGTGGGCTAGGGCTTCACCCTCAGAACGCACCGTGGGCACCAGCCCGGCCGCTTTTGGGCGGCTCCTCAGAGCACAGATAGCCAGGGCCCGGGAGCTGGGCCCACGAGGAGGGGAGGGGAGCATTCCAGCTGAGTCCCAGCTGATGTCTGTCTCAGGTGCTGGGTTTCTCCCAGTTCTGCCCCTCCCAGCACCTCAGACGGGGACGGGGCCCCCACCGAAGGGGCCGGAGGACCTGGGAAGAGATTTACTGGCTGTGCGACACCAAGAAAGTCACTTACGCCTCTGTGCCTCCAGGCCCCCATCTATGAAATGGGGTGACAGTAGCACCCGCCTTCCCAAGCTGCTGTGAGGGTAAAAGGAACTAATACAAGTCCGTCACTTAGCGCAGCACCCGGCACTGAGGACCCGTGATGCCACATTAGCCAGCTGTCTGTCATCTGCAGGGCTCACGAGGTGAACTCAGGCAGCAACACTCAGCGGCCGCGTCCTCTGTGTCAGGTGCTGTGTGGGCACCTGGGACAGCAGGGTCCATCAGACATGAGCCCTGTCCTCAGGAGGCCCAGAGGCCTGTCAAGGAAAGGACCAGAGGGGTCCCTGCCCTGTACAAACTTAGGGGAATCGAAAGGTGTGGGGCCACTCCCTTTCACTGGCAAGGTGACTCACTTAGTCTCCGAGACTCTCAGTTCCCTCAGCTCTATAGGGACAATAATGCCTGCTTCCCCATGTCCCCGGGGCTCATGATGAGCACGGGAGGGGCTTTGCACACTGTAGGGTGGGGGAGAGGCAGGGCACAAAGATGATGCATTTATAATGGGCTCTGAAGTCAGAGGAGCTTGAATTTGGATCCCAGCTCTGCCACTTACTGGCCGCGTCGCCTTAGACAGCTGCTTCTCTTTCCAGCCCTCAGTTTCCCCAGTTGTTCAGTGGAGGCAGTGAAGGTCCCTACTTCTAGTGCTAAGAATGAACTGCAGGAGAGAACATAAAATGCTTAGCCCAGTACCCGCACTGAGCATGTGCTTCAGAAACGGGAGCATGTGATAGGGGGCCGCCAAGGTCCTTCTCTTGGTGGCGTTCTAGGCTCCAGTCCCAGCAAGCCTCTGCCTCTTGCCAGCCCTAGAGCAGCCCCCAGATGAGGGCCCTGGCAGGTGTCCCTAGGTCACCAGGCTCAGCACAGCAGGGATGCAGGGCCGGTTGGGGGGCAGCATCTCACCCCTTCCACAGAGGGTGTGGGACCCAAGGAAGGAAGCGTCCCCTCCTGCTTGAGCCCTGAACTCAGAGATGCTCATCACCGCCCATGACTGGAGTGGGAGTGGGTGTGGAGCCAGAGGGGACAAGCGGAGAAGAGGAGAGGGCACAGGGGCCACCGAGTGACCCGGGGGCTGCCCCATCCGTGCCAGGTGTCCTCGAGGAAGCCGAGTTCTACAACATTGGCCCGCTGATCCGCATCATCAAAGACCGGATGGAGGAGAAGGACTACCCAGTCACACAGGTCAGGAGCGGCAGACCAGCAGGGCAGTGGGAACGGAGGCCGGGGCAGGTGGGGGGAGGCGGGAGGAGGTATGAGAGAGGTGGGGAGGCCAAGCTAGCCTGTAAAGGGAGGTTGTGGTCCAGCTCCCGGGCTGCCCAGCGAAAGCCCCAGACTGGGAGAAGCACGCTGGGTTCTGTCCCTGATGCGGCTCTGTTCACGGTGTGACCTTGGGCCCATCACGCTGCTCCTCTGGACCTTGATTTCCCCTTGTGGAATATAGAGGTGCTGAGACCTGCACTCTTCCCTTCCTCACAAGCAAAATGGGGTCCGTGTGGAGGGACGGGGGCCCTGTGGGGGCCGTGCAGGATGAGTAAATGATCCATTCTGTGGGGTCAGGTAGGCCCCTGGTGGGCAGGGCACGAGCTGCTGGGGTTCACATTTCTGAGCTTGGGCCCTGGGCCCTGGGCCCAGTCTGTAGGAGGAGACGGAGGGATTCTCTGGCCACCCTGGGGGAGACATGGGTGCGGGCGGGCGGGCAGGTGGTGAGGCACCATCTCTCCCAGCCCCAGGAGATTGAAGTGGGGAGGCTCCATGTCGTCCTTCCTGCCCCCTTGTATCGCCCGTGTTCCGGCGCTGCCACATTTAAGCTAGGTGGCCGTGGGCAAGTAAGACCCCCTTGGGGCCTCGGTGAAAATCCCATAACCCCTAGGGTTTGTGGAAGGATTAAGTGATCCTGTAGGTCGGGTGCCTGGCACGTAGGGGGTACTCAGGACGTGGCTGCCACCTTCCCTGGCCGCCCCTGCCCCTCCTGCTCTCCTTCTCAGGGTATGTGGTGTGGGTGGGGAGAGAAGGAGCCGGGGGGATGACAGGTGCGTCTGCCCCTCCCGTGGGTGTCCTCCACGTCGCCTCTCTGCCTGCAGGTCCCCCCCAAGCACGTGTACCGCGTGCTGCAGTGCCAGGAGGAGGAGCTCACGCAGATGGTCTCCACCATGTCCGACGGCTGGCGCTTCGAGCAGGTGCGCGGGGGCCCTGGGGCCACACTGGAAACCCCTGAGCTTCCAGGCAAGGCGGGCCCTTCCGTTCCGCGGCCCCAGGCTTGGGTTCCCCGCCCGAGCCCCCCAGCTGTCTCGCCGACCCAGGTTTCGGAAGGGCCACACGGGGCCACAGGGCAGCTCTAGGCATCCTCTCTGGGGGCCGGGGTCTACACAGCAGTGCGAGCGAGTCTCTGGCCCCCAAACGACAGCTTGGGGGCAAGGAGACCAGAGCCACGTGAGCGAGCGGGCTCCCCCTCGGGTCAGCACCTCCTGTGACATGCACAGGTGCAGCTCCCAGGGTCCCTGCATGCGACAGGCCACATCACGGCCTCGCCACGTCTGGGAAGCCCAAGCAATGGCTTCCCACGAGGATTCGTAGGGAGCGATCGTCCCCCGGTCCACGTGCAGTTCACGTAGCAGGAGACACTTATCACAAGTGGTGTTGGCCTTGCCACGCAGCTCGGGGCACACCTCTCAGGTTTCCAGAGGAACCGAGCCAGCAAGTTCACCCAAGGGCAAATGTGTCCGGAGTGAAGGAAAAGGGTTCGGCTAGCCCTTTCTCTGCGCCCCCCCCATAGCTCCTTGCCTGTGGAGGTTGAAGAAGGGAGAAGGCCGGGTCTCTCCAGGATGGAGGAACAGGCCCCATCCGGGAACCAGAGGCCTGGATCCACCACTTACGTGCCACGTGACCTTGAGCTAGTTGAATCTCCTCTCTGGGCCTCAGTTTCCTAATCCGTGATGTGGGCCAATAGTGCTCCCTTCACAGGACTGTCATGAAGATGGGAAGGGCCACTGATAAAGTCCCTAGCCGAGGGTAGGACTTCAGACACTGGAGCCAGCCAGCATCATGCAGACTATCAGTCTGGAAGTCTACAAGACTCCAGAGAGGACTCGGGATCCTGGGTTCTAATCCCTGTTCTACCACCTCTTCAAGCCCTGTCTGCCAGAGGGGCTGATGGTTTTCACTTCCTGTCCGGTGAGGGTTCCTGGGGGCTGAATGTCATGCACAGGGCCTTGTGGTTGTGGTTAAGCACAGGGACCCCAGAACAAAGGTGGTGCTGCTCTTGAGAGCCTACGGGAGTCTTTGGCAATTGCATGGGCTCCCAGAGGCTGGGCTGACAGCTCAGGGGCCGCTGCTTATCGGCCCTCTGGCCTAAGGAATGGACAACGTGTTCTACCTCTGCTTCCAAGAACGAACAGAATATTCTTTGGGGCCCCATCATGCCAACCCTACCCTACAACTTGGTTCTGGGGCTGCTTCAGCTACATCTGGGACGAAGGGGGACAACCTGCCCATCATTGGCCTCCACCTGCTTTTAGAAAATGGCCTCTAGGTCTGGGGCTGGGGTGAGGTGGGGAGCAGCAAAGATAAGGCAGCCTTTTTCCAAGGAACCCCCCGCCCCAGGCTTGGCTGGACCTGGAAGCAGACCTGACGCCTAGGTGGGGGATCGGGAGCAGACTCTGACTTCCTGTGGAAACTCGGGGCTGGGCCTGAACGGGAACAGCAAGATCAGGACATAAGTTGGTATCTTGACCAGTGCTGATGTCAGTCCCCCTTCCCTGCTGGCCGCCTTCACCCCAGCCTGTCATCTTTCTGCCCATGCTCCGCCAGCTGGTGAACATGAGCTCCTCCTACAGCTATGGAAGCGAGGACCAGGCAGAGTTCCTGTGCGTGGTGTCCAAGGAGCTCTATAGTTCCCCGCACGGGCTGAGCTCGGAGTCCAGCCGCAAAACCAAGGTGAGCCCCCAACCTCAGCTTCCCTCCCCCTACCCCCCCGCCTCCCTCCCCCCTCCCTGCCCTCCACCTAGCCATCCCTGCTTCTTCCTTCCTCCTGCCGCACACACATAACCACCCAGTCACAGCCAGTGCCATCCATCCCATGCCACCCATGGTCCCATCTGCTCACGCCGGCTACCCAGGCCCAGGCGGGGGGGTGCGGGGGGGGAGAAGTGAAATGGGATCATCCCTAGGGCACAGCAGGAAGGACCTAGATGCCGTTTGAAAGGGGCTCTTGAAATCAGGGGTGTGGGCACCTTGGACAAGCCTCAGCCCTCTTGGCCCCCCCGTCATATTCTCTGAGAACTGAGGGTAGACCACGTCCTCTCCGTGGTGCCATCAGGCTTAGAACTTCTGGGATCCAAAAGGCCAGTGTATTTCCCAGAGGCCAGTAAATGTCCCCAGCCTGGTCTGGGCCAGGGCAGAGAAGCCAAATCTGTTAATCCTGCCCCTTTCCCGGGCCCCTTCCTCAGGTGCTCTGCAGGAGGGGGGTCAGGAACCCCATGGGGCCCAGCCATGTGTTTCTGGCCCTGGCCTTTGAGGGAGCAACAGCCGGGCCGTGGGGAGGGGGCTGAGCAGAGGTCCTGCCACCCTGAACCCAGAGCCAGTCAGAGGCCTCGAGGGCCTTTGGGCAGGCCGATGGGGCAGGGCAGCAAGCCAGGCGGGGAGGAAGGGAGACCATTCCTCCTCAGGGCCTGTCCCTGTGCGTTGGAGACTTATGGCCCCTGGCTTCCTGTCTGTCTGTCTGCCTCCCCGTCCTGTGACTTCCCCTGCCCGCCCCCCCATCAGGGCCATCCCCTATCAGTGGCTGGCACCGCCTTGCAAGGGTGCCGAGAGTGAGCCCACTGCTCCTGCCTCCCTGGGAGCCGGTGGAGGGCATCCCAGATGCGGGTGGTGTCTGCCCTGGGCCTTCCCTGGCCTCATTTCTACTCTGGGTCCTCCTAAAGTGAGGCCTTCCCAGGTGCCCCTCGAGGCGACCCTGGCCACACACCCACCCGCCCCTCCTCCGCCCCTCCCCTGAGGGCCTTGCTCGGTGTGACAGCAGCCAGACTGATCCCGGAGGCCCCAGCAGGGCCCCGTTCTCGGCCCTTCCTCCAGTCCCTTCCCAGGCTCCCAGGGGCCTGCACAAGAGGCCGCAGCTTCCCCCGCCTCCGGGGCCCCGCCCTCCCTTCGTCTTGCCCGCCCGCCCTGAGGTGGGGGGCCCCGGGGGCGGGGGGACAGCCGCCAGCAGGCCCTGGCCCCTTGCTAGCTGTCCACTCTTTCTTCCCTGGGTGCGCCGCCGGTCCACAGAGCGCCGAGCAGCAGCTGGAGGAGGAGCGGCGGCAGGTGGAGCAGGTGCAGGTGGAGGCAGATGCACAGGAGAAAGGTGCAGCCACCCCCCGAGGGGAATGATTGCTAATCCAAGCCGGAGCCTCCCGCCCGCTGCCCCGCTGGAGCCAGCTGCACAACCCCGGGGGCCGGGGCCTGCGGGGGGAGGCCGGGCCGCCAGGGCTCTCGCTCCGCCGCGCGCCGGCCGCCTCACCTGCATAACCCTTCCTTCTCTCACTTCTCTTTGCAGCCCTGTCATCTCAGGAGCCCGCTAACCTTTTCTCCCTCCCACCACCGCCTCCTCCTCCTCCGCTTCCCGCCGGAGGCCCTGCCTCATCTCCACCCACCTCTTCTTCCTCCTGGATCTCATCTGCACCCTGCCTCTTCCCTCTCTGCCCCTGCCCGGGTTTCCTCTCCGCCTGCTCGCCCCTCCCTCCCGGGGCCGCCCCGGGCCCGGCCTCCCGCGCCCCGCCCCCGGGCGCCCCGGCCCCGCCTCCCCGAGCGCCCCGGCCTGGGCGGGGGGGGCCCGGCCGCCGGCGCCGCCTCTCCTCCGGGCCCGCCTGCCCCGCCGCCGCCGCCGCCGCCGCCGCCGCCGCCGGGCTCCGCTGAGGGGCCGGGCCGCCCCGCCCACAGCCTCCCCTGCTCGCCTCCTCCTCACCTCTCCTCCTTGCAGGTTCCCGTGCGCACCCCTCAGAGCCGAGGCCGCGCTGGCCGGGAGGGCTCCTCCTCGGCCCCTCGCCCGCCCCCCAGAGCCGCCATCCCTGGTTTGTAGCCTTGGCGGAGCTGGAGGGAGGGCGGAAGCCAGGAGGGGGCGCGTCTCCTGTTCCTGGCCCTGAGCCTGGCAGCTCGGCCGACTTTCTCCCCTCACCTGTTTTTGGCCTTGGGTGCGAGGCTCTGAGAGGAGAGGAAAGTCGGGCGGGCGGGCCTCGTTCCCAGCCGTCCGTCAGCACCAGAGCTCCAGAGCCGGGCTGGGAAGGAGGGAGGGGAAACCCGGCGTCACAGCCTCCCCGCCAAGGGGGTTCCCTGACTCTTGGGGGCAGTAGGGGGCGGGGAAGGACGGCCAGCCTTGGAGTCCCTTGGCCTACAAGGAATCAGCCAGAGCTGCCTAAGGATCGGGGTGTCACAGAAAAAAGTCCTGGCCAGCTGCCCCCAAGCCCCACTCAATCTTGTCTGCCTGCTGTGTGACCTTCGGCAAGTCACTGTCCCTGTCTAGGCCATAGTTGCCCCTGAAATGGGGACAGACAGCTGCTGTCTGTGACCTTTTGCCTGAGACAGCAGGGACCTGGCCTTGACAGCCCCCTGGCCAGAGTCGTGGTGACTCTGGCCTCCGAGGCAGCCCCCACCCAACCCAGGGTGGGGCATGGGCTTCCCGGATGGGCGAGCCGGGTCCCCTTCCTGCTCCCCCTCCTCGGCTCTGAATTCACCTTCTCTGGGCCTCAGCCCCCCACCCTCTTCTCAGAAGGGAGCCTGTGACTCACCTACCTCTTTCTCTCTCCCTCTCTTCCCTGCCCCTCCCTCCATTTCAATCTCCTCTCTGCCCTCCCCTGGCCTTGCCTCACCCCTCCTCACTGGCCCCACCCTCTCTTCCCCCTCCTGGTGTTCTGACCACCCTCCCACCCGTCCCCCTCCCCCTTCCCCCTCTTATTTTCTAGCTGTTACAAGCCAGAGGCACCCGGATGTGAGGCCCCAGATCACCTCCAGGGACTTGGGGTTCCGAACTGAAATCCTTTATTTTTGTACCTCGGGGTGGGCCCCCGGCTCCAGGCAGAGGAAGCACCCTCCCCCCTGCCACTTCTGTCTACACCTGTGGGGCTTTGATTTCCGCCCGCCTCTGGGGCCCTCTCAAGGCCCGAGGTGGGCCCTGGGACCCCTAGGCAGAGCCGCCTGTGTGTGGCCCAAGTGTGGCGCTGTCCAGCTGTGTTTCCCACACCCCCATGGTCCCTCCCCCAGGTCCCCCAGCTGCATGAACGATACCCTCCCCCCTGACCCAGTCACATCTCCTCCCTGAGCCTTAGTCTCCTCGTCTGTCAAATGGGCTCACTCTCCCCGCCGCCACCACCTACCTCACAGGGTTGTTGTGAGGTTACAAAGAGGAGCAAGGTCCCAGAAAGCCCTGGGGAAGTGTACAAAGCACCAGACTGGAGGGTGGCCTTCCCTTCACCCTTCCCTCAGAGGGGGAGGACCTGCTCAGCCCCAGATGGAGATTCAGGTATTGATGGGGCGAAGGGTGTGGGGGTTGGCCTTGTGGGGAGAAGAGGGAGGGTGACCCAGCCTTCACCTTGGCTCCTCCCCACCCATCCGCACTGCTGGCTGCAGAGGGCCCTGGCCAGGAGGGGCCAGGAGGGGGCAGGCGGGGGCTCAGCAGGGGCAGGGGGCCATTCAGGAACTAGTGCTAAGGGCAAGGGGGACACTCCTCCCTTTGCCCGGGGGAGAGTCTGGGGGTAGCAGGGGCTGAGCAGGAGCCCCCTCCTGCATTTAGGATCCCCCGGGCTGTGTCCAACCCCGCCATGTAATAAAGCCTGAAGAAACAGCCGCTGGGCTGCCTTCCTCTCTTCCTCTGGGCCACTTTCAGGGAAGGGGCTGAACTCAAGGTGGGGTCAATGACTCATAGGTAGTGGGGCTTTTTCCAAAAGCCCGGGGACCCTGCCCTGCGGTCACTCTCCCGTGTACTGGGGGAAGGAGGTCCTGGCTCCATCCTCTGCCCCGTGGCCCAACACTAAGGGCACCAACTCTGCCTTGCTGGGAGAACTTTGGCAGGTGGCTGCCCTCTCTGGGCCTCAGTTAACTCATCTGTGAAGTGAAGGGTTGGACCAGGTGACTTCCAAGGCCCAGCCCCTGGAGCCGTGCAGGTCTCTTCCTGCCTCTGGGCAGCCCTAGGCTAGCTGGGGGATGCTGAGGGGATAGGGGGCTCCCGGAATCAGGACAGCAGGGCCCCCCACTTCCCAGCCTCACCCCACCATTCCCGTGGCCCTTTGCTCCAGCCTCTGCTGCACCCTAAACCCACCCTGGGCCACACCTTCTGCTTCCTGTGACTTTTCGTGGTCCCCTCCACCCCTCCCTATCACTGCCGCCCTTCTGCCCCAAGTCCCAGGAAATAGAAATGCCCGGGCTCCCGCTCCACCTTCTCTCTGAGTCCGCTGGACCGTGGGCTTCAGCAGGGCCTCCCACCCCACCCTGCCTGGCCAGTCCCATTACCTACCTTGTGTCCGGCTAAGTGCCTACCGTACTCCCCTAACCCCCGCATCTTAGCGCTGCTAGGGACACCCCGGCAAAGCAGGGGTCCCTTAGGCAGAGCCCCTCCCCTGGGCCAGGTGAGGCTCCCCTGCTCCACTCAAGCCTGGGGGGCCCTCGCCACTCCCCTTGAGACATTCGGCTCGCTGGACTGACCTCACATTCTGTATCCAACTTTGTAAAAAGTCACCGGGAGGCTTGTTAAAAGAACAGATTGTCCACCCCTACCCACCCCCCCAATTCTGACTAAGACTGGGGTAGGGCCCACGAATTTGCATTTTAGCGGGCGCCCAGCACTGCATCTGCAGGCCTCTGTGAGAAGCCAGAGAGGCTACCGGGTGGAATACTGTAACATCCTGCCCCCACCCAGAGCTTCCCCCCACCCCTGCCAGTGTCTGCTTGGTCTGCTCCGTCTCCTCCATCTCCCCCCCTTCTATGTCCCCCCGCAGGCGGGCCCAGCAGACAAGCCCATCTCATGCACCAGGCCCTTGGACTGGATGTGCATGCCAGAGCCCTGACTTTGAAATCCCCCCCCATATCCTGAGGCTCCCCTTCCTTCTCCCAACTAGGTTTCAAGGAAGACTCGACTGCACTCGACTCCCCACTTCCTTACCTCCCCCGCCACATCCAGAGGGCACCAGTGGCCCTCCCTGACCGCTCCCACTTGGTTGCTAGGGTTCCACACCCCTCAGCCTCCCTTGTGGGCCCCCATCTGTAGTGTCTGTCTCCCCGCCTCTTCAGTCTTCCCACTCACCTTCTGCAGAGGGTCTCTGGAATCCCTCCTCCAGACCTCAAGCCCCGCCTACCTCCTGCACACCTCCCTCCCAGAGGCATCCAAGCTCTGGCACCTCCTCAGAGCCTTTCCCTCCCCAGGTGCCCCAGGCCAGGCAACAGGTCCTCCACTGGCCCGGTGGATCAGGACGGACCCCTGGGAGTGGTCCTGGGTGACTCCTCCCTCACTCAACCCCCAGCCGCTAAGGCACCTGGAGGACACTGAGGGTCCTTCAAGTGCATCCCCGCTGCCCAGCTCATTAGACCCCCTTCCTCTTCCTCCTGGAGTTGAGCAGCAGCCTCCTCAGGGCCTCCCTGCTTCCCACTCCCTCTGCACTCGTGCCTCCACGCTGGGGCCCCTGATCCTTCTAAAGTGCGAATCCACTCGTGTCGCTCCCCTGCTCTAGAGCCTTCTTCTGTGGCTCCCCAGAGCACTCAGCATCAAGTCCTTAACTCCAAATTCTTTGTCATCTGATCTCAGTTTGCTCCTCTCTCAACCTCTGTGTAACTCAGAACAGCTCACCAATATGCCGTGTTCTTTTGGGACTTAAACCTTTGCACCTTTGCTGTTTCCCTCCCTGGAATGCCCTGCCCCACCTTGGCCACCTTTGGGCTGCAACTGAAGTCTCACCTCCTCCAGGCAGCCTTCCCTGACTTCCCGAGTTCCCGGCTACCCCAAAGCCCCTTCACACTGGATTGTCATCCCCACCCCTCCTGAGATCAGGAGCTGAGTTCTGTGCATCTCTGTGGCCCCAGCGCAGTGGTTGGCACGTAGCGGGAGACTGATGGCTTGCTGAATGAAGGATCCCAAGAAAGCAAAAGGAGTGTCACGCTGAGAAGGGGTGGACTGGGAACCAGGAGGCGGGGCTTCCACACCAGGCTTCACTATGAACCCGCTGGTGTGATCCTGAGGATGGCTCCGCCCCTCTGCCTCAGTTTCCTCCCAAGCTTGCAGACGGAGCCTATCACTCGACCCATCCTTCTGATCCAAGGGGGTCACCAAACCACCTCCTTCTTAGGGTTGCTCCTGGGACCTGAGCAACCGCCCTGGAGGTCACCCCTGCCCCCACTGACCCCACCTTGGCTTTCTAGACATTTGACCAATAGGCTGAGCAGGAAGCAGAGTCTGCTCAGTCAAGAGTGTGGGGTTGATGGCGGGCCCCATTCAAACCCCACAGCAGGGCCTCAGATCAAACGGCTTTATTCTTCAGGGCAATGGAGCTCACTTCCAGGTGTGAGTGGGCAGTGGAGGCCCAAGGGACAGGTAGGGGTGGGGTGAGGACCCTAGACCCGGGGCTCCCCCCACCCTTTGGCTTATGGTGGCAGCTGGCCCACTTGGCTGTTTGCAGGGCTGTGGGGCCCCTCCTTGGGGGTGCCTCCCATCCCCACCCCTCAAGTTCACAGGCTGAATCTGCTCTCTGCATTGGCGGAGGGGAGCTCAGACACCCCTATTGGGACCTGGAAGCCCCACTATCACTGCTGAACCATCCCCCCCGCCCCCGCCCAAGTCAGCAGCAGAAGAAGGAGAAGGAGGAGAGAGGATCAGGAGGCAACAGGGCTGGATGTGAACCCCTCCAGCTGGGCCTGCTGACCATCCAGGCTCTGGGGTGCAGGGGGAGTCCACTACCAGCTGATGGATCTTCTCCTACTGTTGCCCTCCCTGGGGCAGATGTCAGGGAGCAGGTTGGGGGATGACGGGATGCTACCTCCTGCCTCCACGAGGCCCCCCTGCTGCCCCCAGAATACTTGTTACCCTGCCCAGTGGGTGCCCCGGACTCTCTTGAGTCCAGGAGGTGGGTCCCAGCTCTGCAGGGAGGGAAGCTCCTCAGGTCAGCACCTGCTGGATCCAGCCAATCACCCCTGTGATGCGGGTGTAGACACCAAAGTAGTTGGGCCGGCCACAGCCCAGGCCCCAGCTGACCAGCCCCGCCAGGAACCAGCGGCCACTGGGCTCCTTGCACACCAGTGGACCTCCCGAGTCACCCTGAAAGGGGGAGAGGAGAGGCAGGTCTGCATCAGGGACTACTGGGAGTCTTCCAGGTGACAAGAGGCTCTTGGGAAGTCTTCTGCCTCCCCTGCTCCTGATCAGTGGAGAGAGCCCAGAGCAGCCCTGCCAGTCCTTCCACAGGTCCTGGCTGTTGTGGAAGAGTACACGTGTGTCCCCACTCCTCTCTGCCTCCCTTTTGTGGGCTCCTTCCATTCCTAGCTCCTGTGTCCCTTTGGGTAAAGCGCCTTGCTTGGCAGGGGGCAGAACTGGGTTTGAGCCTCAGACCTGCCCACCGCAGCTCTCTTGTGCTCTGGGGCCTGCAACTTGGTGCAGGTCCCTCCACCTCCCCGAACCTCAGTTTCCTTATTGGTAAAGTTGGGACAGCCATCCCGGCCTTGCTGGGAGGCCGTGGGGCTTCAGCAGGCTAGTGTGAGCAGAGGGCCAGGCCTTGCACGATGTGAGTGCCGCCCGCCCGCCCTCCCTCCCTCCTCTCAGCCACCCACCCCCAAGGCGTCACCTGACAGGCATCCTTCTTGCCCTTGCGGTAGCCAGCGCACAGCATGCGGGGTGTCACCTGGTAGCGATAAGCCTCGCTGCACAGGTCCTGCGGGATCAGCTGCACGTCCACCTTCTGCAGACCATTGCTGGTGGGGCCTGCCCGGTGGGGTCGGGGGCAGAAGGCAGAGATGAGAGTGGACTCTTCCTTCCACTTTTCCCCTTGCAGCTCGGAAGCCCCCCTTCATCTCTCCTGCTCTGCCCGCCCCCTACCCCTCCGCCTCGCCTCACCGTCACTCTGTTCTGGCCCCTCATGGCCCACGGGGACAGAGTCCCCACCCAAAGCCTATCTGGATAGTGTCCTTCTCCCTGCCGCCCCTCCTGCTTGAGGCCTCTTGGCCAGTGCCCCCTTGTTCTGTGACAGCCCCTGGGAGATTATTCCAGAGCACACATCTGACCCTACACTCTCCTCCTAAAATTCATCAGTGTCTCCCCACTGGCCAGCCCAGTGCTGTGCCAGGGCCCCCCAGGGAGGGCCCCCAGGGAGCTTCATTCCACACTGTGCCTGGTCCCACCCCAAGATCTGGTCTGTTTGGCTAGGGTGGGACTCAATGTTGGTGTTTTTCTGGAAGCCCTCAGTTGGTTTTAAAGTGCAGGTCAGGCAAACTCCTGGCTCAAGCTCCTTACAACGGCCAATGAGCCCATCCTGTCCTTCCCGCCAGTCCTCATCCACTTCTGCCTGCACCCAGCTCCCTCTGGTGCAGGGTGTTCTCGAGACTCCCCGGGTTGCCACCTGTACGCTTAACGGGAACACCTCTCTCCCCCACGTGGACACCGCCGACTTGTCCTCCCAGCCTTGGCTTAGCCAGCCCCTGTCCGGAAGCCTCCCTGACCCCACCTGGCTAGGCCCCTCCTCTGGGCTGCACCTCCCCACCCATGTCAGCTCTAAGCACTGTCTCCCCCAAGAATGTTCTCTTTTCATCCCTATAGCCCATCTTTGCCCAGCTCGAGGCCTGGCATACAGTAGGTGCTCATAAATGTATCCTTGA